AAGAATCAGAAGAAATAGGAGAACTATCTACTTTTGTTTTCAACTTTTTTCTTTCTAATAAATAATTTTGTTGATTTATTTTTTCTACTTTTTCTACTTTTTCTACTTTTCTTACTTTATTTACTTCTAATCCTATAGTGTCTATTGAATCAAAAGTAGTTATTAAAAAATCTGAGTCATAGCCCTTTAGTACTACATTTACTGTTAGGCCTCTACAAAATCCTAGAGTACATAGTTAGGGTCTAAAAGTTCTGAGGTGACTTTCAGATTTGTAGAAAAGGCTTCTTACTACAAATCCTACTTATTACTCATTATTACTCTAATGACCTGACAGATATACTATTACTTCTGTAGACAGTCCTTAATCTAGTGCTCTGACTTTCTGTAAGTAAAGTATACTCCTTACTTTCAAGCTTCTCTAATGTCTATTAGAACAGATTGATTGTGAATTACAAGCAGATTAATCTGAGGACTCAGAACTGTTAGAGCTAGACATATGTGTAGGCATTCTGTATAGACTTGACACATCCAAGCTGTAGCTTGGTTGAAGGAGATAGTGTGTGTTTTTCACTCAGTATAAGTAACTAGTTCTAGTATCATTCTAAGAATCTTATTAACTAGTTCTAAGTGAAGAGCTTTTTCAAGCATTCTAATAAGGACATTATTGAACCTAAGTGTGAATCCTGCCTTCTAGGCTAGGATATCAAACTCCTGAAAGAAGGTATTAGTAGAATGTTTGCTCTGTTATAGAGACACAAGCTTGTTCTATGTATTGTGCTTCTCATTCAGATTAATAAAGAAAGTACAGAGCTACCTTATAAATTCTGAATATGACTCATTGTTCTAAAGTCAGATCAGGCTTCCAATCTGATAGTCTTTGATCCAGTTCTGGGCCTAGGTAGTTGTGTTACCTTCCTTCATGAAGGAGAGGACAAATAGGATACAATTAAGATCTAAGGATAGATTGGTTAAAGTAGTAGCTACATATAGTTTGACTTAGTACTAGAAGTCCTTAAAGTGCTACCTATTAAAGTCTAAAGGGCAAGCTATATACACTTTCTTTCTAGAACAAGTTGTGACTTCTAGAACAATCAGAACAGGTTCTGAAGGGGCTAAGAGTATATAGTTAACAAAGGCCTCTTAGATAAAAGTCTGTACATATTAAGCTAGTTCTGCTTGTAACTACTAATCTGGTAGAACAGTAGGGGTGGCAGTTAGTGTAGGAGGGTCCATATTTATACTACAAAGGGATCAACACTAAACTAAAAGGGGTAATGAATAAAAGAAGGGTAGTAAAAGTTTAAAAGGGTTTAGAAAGTTTAAAATTTAAAAATGTAAAAGGGTTAGGACAAAGAAAAGAGATTGACACAATAGTGAGTACTAATGCTTGAAACATAGGAGAGTTGTAGAGTAGTAATGAGTAGTCTTAATCTGATGTCAGTAACAGTATAGAGGGGACTCAAAGGCTCAGTAAGAGGACCTAGACTACAACTATCCTACACAACAGAAATACAGAATGTAAGTACTAGAACATAGTCAGAACTTGTAGAACAGGTAGAGAGAGAGAGTGAGACAAGAGTAGAGTATATAGAGTGAGCCTAAGAGTACAGGACTACCTAGAGTAGATAAGATCAAGACTACAGAACTAGTCTAATCTTGTATACTTATATATACTAAACTACACAAGAGTACTTAGGGAGTATGAGCTACTAAGAATGATAAGCTACAAAGAATGAAAGAAAGGAATGTCAAAGATAAAGGTACAAAGAATGAAGGGATGGACAAAAGGTAAGAGACTATAGAATGAACAGAGAATGAAGGAGTAGTCAAAGGAATAGAATGATGAAGTAAGGAAGGGTAGTAGTAAGAGTCAGCATACATATAGTCTATAGACAGTACTCTTAAGGGACAGAAGTCCTGAGTTCTAGTACAGAAGGGTGTAGAACCCTTAGAACTGAAGGTAAGAGAGTAGAGAATTGTAACAGTATATAGCATTTAAATAGCTACCTACTATATAACACACTATAAGAACAAAACAATGACAAGATAGATGGTGAAGTATTAGAAGAGGAGGAGGAGACTGATAACAATGATAAGAATCTTGAAAGCAAAGAACAGAACAATGAGGAAGGCAAATCAGACAGTTATACAGACCTGTAGTAAATATTAGACACACTATTTACATGTAAGGTAATTTTGTAGTTACACACAGTAAATGACAATCTGTTGATCATCTGTACAACTGTTTTTGCTAATCAAATATGACACTGTAAGTATTCTACTAGGCTGATTCCTTGTTACTATCTTACCAACTTTTACAGTGAGCAAAATGAATCTTCTTTTAACAGGTGCCATTTATGCCTCCATCTTGACTCAGTTTGCACTAACTACAGTATTCTTCAGAGCAATCCTTGACTTTACTACTATTACACAGTTTCTCACAGTTTGTAGGATAGAGAGTACTATATGTGTTACTACTGTTTTTACAGATTCTTTCATTACTGTCACTATACTCTATTTACTATATCATATGTCTGTTAGTAATCTTTAATACACTACTGCTACCTGATTCAAGCATATACAGAATTTGCAAGGTTGTTTAGAGACTCAGAACAATAAGGATGGCTATTAGGTTGAAGTTTGTAAGTAGTACAGTATAACTCAACAGCTTTATCAAGGTCTTCTAGCCATTCACACTGCTTGTATCTTTTGCTTCATTATCTTGCTTACTTTGTTGTCTCTCACAGTACTCTCTAGACACACTTTCACTCAGGCTTGGCTCTGTAACAAGCAGTAATGACTCTTGATCCTCTGTCAATAATCTGCTTAATGTTGACTTTGATAAACTTGTCAAGTACTATTTGCAGCCTCACACAGCACTCTCCAGACACACTTTCACTCAGACTTGGCTCTGTAACAAGTAGTAACAACTCTTGATCCCCTATCAATAATTTGCTCAATGTTGACTTTAATAACATACTTGCATTCCTTTTACTTTACAGTTGTACACACACACTCCCAACAACTTGCATTCACAATTACCTTTAGTAAGTCCCTTCCCTCACTTGCATTTGACCTGAGATCTCTAGACTTACTTCTTATCTTACACAGCACTCTCTACACCTGCCCCCCCTCTGTTTTTTGGGCCAATCCAGACACATACAAAATGAAGGACACAAAATGTGTGTCCTGTAAGGCTAGCACTAATAAAATTCTGGGAGTGCTTAGGGAAGCACTCCCAGATCATTATAGCTGTATTAAAACAGCTAAAATTGTGTAAGTTCTTACATTTTTTACTTTTTTCTACTACTAACATTACTATTATTATTATTAGGGGTGGTATTTATGAGTCAGGTAATAACTACGCGCCTGGCTTCTTATTTAGGGCCGGCAATAACGCATCTACTAAGCACGTGACTCGCGTAAACCCCCGTTGTCGAATTTCCTTTAAAATTCGATGCTGCTTTACACCCGTTTGTATAAATAATGAGACTTTTCGATTTTGAGCAACGTGATGTAATGTAAGAAATCACATGATTTTTTAGACTTAGAGGAAATTTGTGGGCACAAGATAGTGAATGAGACACATTGTGCCAGCATCTATGCATATATTTTGAGCTGCTACAATCATGAGTAACTGCTGCATCAGTAGAGACCTCAAAATCTGCTGTCTAAGACTGTATGACCTCAATATTCTAAGCTTGGACAACATTCTAAACTGTGTAAGATTCTCTCAGGCTACTTCATTGTGAAAAAGTCGCATTCCTTATATGGAATTTTAGACTTTGTAAAGCAAAATAAACATTGTATATACATTATAAAGCAATATAAGCATTATATATACATTATAAAGTAACTGCAAGGTTTCCAGATGAATTGTAATGTCTAAATAAGACATATTAACACATTACAAGACAATATAAGTACTATGGATAAATATAATCTATAAAACTAATTATACTAACCTTGTATGACAAGCCAAAGTATTATGTTTACATTATATTTCTATTATAATTATAAAAACAGAGTGGTACTTACAATATAATAAAGTAATAACAACTATTGTTTACTTACAAATGGTTATTAATGTATACAATTATAAAAACATTCTTTTTGTAAAGTTATAATCTTAATAAATGTATAGTATTAATATACAACTTGATAGCAATCACAAAGCAAGTATGAGACAAGAAAAAAAAGTATTACAAGATCTTTCTAATGATGAATCTCACAAGCTCTGTACAAGCTTGATTTGAGCAGCAATAATATATTGAAGAGGGACCATTCACTACAAGCAACTTCAGGAAAAAGTCTGTTTAAATATAATGAATTACAGTCTATTTAAAGAAATATTAGCATTTTATATACATTGTAATTCATATGTAAGGGTTAGAACACAACTATAAGGATAAAATAAGGCATATTAATGTATATAAAGACTCTAAGAGTGTTATGAATTATTACAATTCATTGAATACATTATGATAACCTTACATTATAAGCTAAAGTATTATACTTAGATTATATAAGTATTATAATCTTAAAAACAGAGTGATATCTGTAATATAATTAAGCAAAAATATTTATTTTTAGTAGATAATTAATACAAAAGGCAAATTAATGTATATAATAATTAAAAACTCTATTTTTAGGGTTCTAATCTTAATAAATATATAGTACTAGTTTGTAATGTGTGTGTTATAGAAGTATAACAGATGTAAATAAAATACAAAGCAAAAGAAAATATTACAAGATCTTTTTAATTACAATTTTTTTAGCTGTCTTGTAACTAATAGTTGCCCCCTTGAAATTGAATTCCTTAAGATAATATTAGCAAAGAAAGACAAGACAAAGGTAAAAAAAACTCACATTATTAACAAAAGGCAGGTGTATAGATCCTACCAATTTCTTCTTCCTAAAACATCTTATTAGAAGGTGTAAGGTATTATGGTTCACATTTACGTTTTGTGAATGAATCGCGACCACAGGTTGATGCGACGATGAGGAGGGGACATGGTTCAACCAAAGTACGTGTAAAGCCTTCTATTCACAAATATAATAAAAAGCTAATGTAATAATGAAGGTACCAGGTGTAAAACTGCGCCCGCCCGATCGAGTCAGGTCAAAGACAGCAGACGTATCGTTGAAGAACTCCGTTTATGCCCAATCCTTGGAAGCTCATGAGCTGGATTTTACGGAAATAATTAAGAGCTGCAAGAAGCCTTTTGTTGGAGTAGTCGTCTGTGCTTCCGGAATTAGTGACAAGGTGTGATTCCGCCTGCCTATTGACCGTTATAGTGGCTAACAATCTAGTTTTCTCTTAGGTTAACTTATTCCATCAAGCAGTACAACTTGGAGCGCAGACATCATCAGACCTTACGGACAGAGTCACACATCTTATTTGCGAGAACCCTGGGAGTGCAAAATACAATGTACGTCTCAGCGTCAAAGTGAATCATTGAATAATTGCTCAGTTTCTTCAGTATTGCGTCGAGCATGGCATACCTATTCTACTTCCATCTTGGATATCGGAAGTGCATAGTAAATGGATTAGTGGAGAAAGTATAGATGTGGCAAAGGTGCGTGAACGGAAACATATCAGTCTTCAAAGTTCAGAATCTAACCTAGTTTACAATCAAAGAGCTCCAGCGTGCATCGCTTTCCTACGTTCCAATTTGTACGACTATGCCTAACTGCGGTAGACGATGTGCAAAAGAGGAAGCAGATTCGAAAACAATTGGAGAAGAACGGCGGTACATTCGTTGAGACACTCGGCAAAGACGCGGAAATCACACATCTCCTATGTGGGCCAGACAGAGGCGACAATGTGGGCGAAAAAGGAATCTCCGCAAAGATGCAGTTTGTCATGAAGGCCAACAGGACCGCTACGACCAAAGTACATTTGGTTTGGGAGGATTGGTTTTGGGACTGCTTAGAATTCAAGGGTACGCCTAGCTGATCAGCCATAACACCGTCCTGCTAATCCTGTGTTAGGCATTCTCAATGAGAAGGAGTACGTGGCCACTGGACCTCGTCCGCAGCGTAGAATGATGCCAGAATGTGGGGAAATTCTTACTTGCGTTCGTGAGGAAGTTCCTGAATCATCATTGTTTAGATTCTCCACTGGTGGCACCAATCGCTTCGTCAGCTGAACAGATCGACCGACGCGCACCTATCATATCACCTGCATTGGATATCAGTCAAGACGTGGAAGAAATTGCTAATGTCAGACGCGTTCCCGAAGCAACAACTCGACTGTTTGAGAATATGCTGAGAAGGAGAGGCTATGAAGTGAAGGGTGGAAAAGTGCTGCGAAGCCCAACCAGACCGCGAATTTCCAACCCGCTTGGTGGATACTTAGAACGATCGTCCACCGATAGAGTCGATCAGAGGTTGGCGGTGGACTTCGCTTCATCGCGTGCCGAGAGTTCACTGGCTGCGGCTTTCAGGAGAACGAAGTCGTTCGCAGTTAAAGGTGATAACTCCGAATCCTCTAACGTGCCATTGCAACACGCAGCATCGACATCTTTTGTGACGTCTAAGCAAGCAGCATCATCAGCTATGCCTATTTTTAACCTACATACCGAGGACGTCAGTGTTCCGGATGGCGAGAAGAACCTCTTTGCAAACCTGGTATTCCGGACACTCGGTCAAGCGAATGGACCGAAACTGACAGCAGCACTCGAGCTTCGAGGTGGAACCGTCGTAGATGATCCCGAGGCGCAAGTGGATTTTATCATAGTCCGTCTCGCGGGGTTCGTGCTTCGTGCTTTTACTTTTTTGCAGAATAAAATTTTTCTTACAGAGGAGCTACAGTGGTAACACCTTCTATCTTGATGAAAAAGATGAAATGCAGCGTGCCAAGTATCGAACAGAGTGCTGGGTAGAGCAATGCATGTTCGAAGAGCGAATATGTGCTGCTGAAGAACATCCAGCATTTGTTCCCCTGCGGATCCCTACTCCTATTTCTGGTATGTGAAGCCTTTGAAAGTATAAATGACGGCCTAACCAACCCCCCTCCCGAAGGTGCTAACAAGCTGTATATCCACGTTTCCGGATTAGCTGCCTCGGAGAAGACCCCATCAGTCCGTCTGGTAAAAGCCATTGGTTCGTGATTTTTATTCCCCTTCGGTTATGTTCTATTGGCTCACGAACGCTAACAGGGGCAACTGTGACGGACCAGCTGTCGAAGCGAAATACACATCTTATTTGTCCTTGTGGCACAGGCGCAAAATTCGATAAGGCGCAGGAGTGGAGAATTCCTATCTTGAATTTACAATGGCTATATGCTACTGTGAAGACAGGCACAATGCAGGAAGTAAAGGACTATCTGGTTACCGCAGTTGCGCCCGAAAATACTGGTAAAGGCGGAATGATGATGGATATCACAAACAGCGAATTTGTGCAAGGTTCATCGAAGGTCAAGACACCCAGTAAGAGCTCTGACCGTTCACAGTCTTCAGACACTTCCATTCCCGTCGTACCATCTTCGTTTACGGAGACGGGGCCTGAGTTTTCGGATTCTTGGGTGGCTAACGCTCTCCTCTCGGAGTCTGTACATGATCATCCACCTACCTCGTCTCCAGCGCTTTCTACCCGTTCTCATGGAACTAGTCCAACTACTCCCTCGAAGCGCAAACATAAGCCAACGAATCTCACTATGGAAAACACCACTGTCCTTTTACCATTTACTTCTCCGACTAAACGGAGATCTCCTACAAAGTATCATGACCGAGTTCCATCGAGCGTAACGCCTTCTCCGCTAAAAATGCCATCCAAGAACACCCGTACAGCGGACCACGAGGCATCAATAACGCCCACAACAGCACCAACCGCGACGGCCAATACACTGAGTGGGGAAAGCGCAAACGTGCTAAAAGATGCGATCGCTTCGCTCTTAGGCAAACGACCCTCTTCAGAAGATCAGGATTTCGATAATAATCAGAATCAGAATCACAGCTTGAAAGGACAAGGACAAGGACAAGCCCCGCCTACTCGTGCTTCGAAGCGCTCAAAACCACCTCCGAGGACGAAATCGAGACAGGATGGCTCCGGACGGACCTTTTCGCGCACGACGAGTGTTGAGGCGTTGGGACGTTCGGGATCGATAGTTTCGTCCACAGGTGTGGTCGCGGGACCGTCATACTCGTTTGATTTCACGATGGGAACGACAGGGACTGGGAGCGTTGGTGGACTTATTAACAGTATTGCCGAGTCACCTGCAGACTCGGATATTATCGGCCTTGGATCGGGAATTGGTACGGGAGGGGAAGCTGACGAAAGTATGCGAGTGACGTATGAAGATCCAAGCCAACGAGCCGAGGAACGTAGATTGTTGAGTCTCATCTCCGGTGATGCAATGGATGCTGATGCAGGACGGGAAGCTATTCCTGCGTACGAGGAGAATAACAATGTACTTACCGAGGAAGAGAAAACGTCACAGCCTCGTCCGAGAAGGAAGGGGAGGAACCTGGTGCGAAGAGCAACTGCAAAAGTCGCTCAACAATGTTAGGGTAAAATGCCCTTCTTCTTGCATACTCAACAAGATGCATTTATATCTAGGAACAATTTAATTCTATGTATTATCATTGAATAGAGGCCTAACGCTGAGCATGGCGTCCAAGCCCGAAAATTTGTGACTATTAAGCAACAATTGCTTCTTGTAATCTAATAGCAAGGACTGTGTGCTCAACTTCACCTCCAAATCTCAGCGACGAACACGACGTGCAGAAATGTTTTCATCGGGCTTGTTTTACCGACCCAAGGACACTGGCGCCACCATCTCTTCGACCTCTCCCCACTTCATCTCGCTCATTCTTCGCGGAGGAACGTGGAGACAGCCAGTGTAGGATTTGATCTGAATTGCATTGCCTCGGTCTGAGTTGAAATGACAGTGTTTACTTGCCCACTGTCAACCTGCCAGATTTGCAAAAGAAGACGGTTGCTTAGAATAGAGCATCACGAAAAAGTCGCAACAAATGTATTTAATAATAGCAAAAGTAAACTAATAAAATGATTTCATAAGCATTACATTCTAAAATAATACTTGTATTTCACTTGTAATGTAATTATAATGATTGTATATAAATGTAAGAAATATACAAAGTTTCTATTAAACTACAAACATGTTTTAGAGTAAGTAAGCTTACTAATAGTATTATTACAACATTACATGTGAGGTACAAGTACTCAACTCCTATTATAATATGCTAAAATTATATTATAAGTTATTTGTAACAATAGTTGATTGATTATAATAGTCATAAAAGTAATATGTTGTGCTTGTAAGTTAATTACAATACTTTTAGTAAGATAATATACAATTATATATATTAATAATGTTAACAATCACTCTGTCAGACTTATAATATAATTTGTTTTTACCTTTAAACAATATATCGAAGTGATTACATAATCGAGTACCAAAGATCGAGAGCATATAATGACGCACTTGCTCTCGTCACTCCTTTTCCTCCTACCTCCATCATCTCCCCAACCCTCTTCCCCCAACGCTATGTCGTCTCTTTTGTCCTCTCCAGGCCAGTCCTCTGCCTACAAGCATCCTCCAGCAGGCACACTGCCTGCAACTGCCTAGACAACAAAGGTCGCTGGATTCGTCTCTCTAATCTGCCACTGCAATGCCTGCGCTGAGCCTCAGATCTTGTGACAACACGGCCGAGCTGGCTACACAGTCCTTCAGCGTAAAGCGTAAGTAGCCAGTCCACTTCATAATAACTCGCACAATAGTTGCTCATCCCTCTCCTCCCAACTTCTTGTCTCCCTTTCATCCCTCCCGCTCCTCGCTCTGCCTCTTGCGTTGCCTCTCCTTCATTGTCCTCCTTTTTATTATGCTCGCCTTCTTTTTTGCATTCGCATTCGCGCATCCGCATTGTTGACCGACTTCTTCAATAATTCCATGCATTCGTGTACTTCTTCCCACTCAGCAACGCAAGCAACAATCGGTGAGTACGCACTCGCGACAATGTCCATGTATTACCACTCCTCAGGCGCAATCCTCTCTCTGACCCCCCGCACACTCTCCTTCCACACCTACCATCCTATGCTTGACATCACCCTCGATGGGCCCACGCCGTGTGCATTTATATACCCCAGTGCTGTCCATGACACCATTTTGAATAACAGAAGCAGTAGCCACCACTCACCTCTCCTGAGCCAAGTCCGCCCGCACCACCCACTTCATCCTCTCCCTTCGAGCCAGAACGTCCTAGAGATACACCTTCGAAGTCATCCACAACTATTACTGAGTTCACTGCACCTCCGATTGCGCGTCGCGTCGTAGCTAGAGCATGCAACGTGCTTGCACAGACACGTTTCCCCTGCAGCCCAAATTAGCTCGCTCAACGCTCCGGATTTCCAATCCAGGTGACCCACCCACACTCGCTACACGCTGTCGCAGTGCGTCCATCTTTTCACTCTTATTGTCACTTGCTAATCACTCTAAGCTCGTCTCACAGGCGCAGCCTCAATCTCCACAACCTGCTCAACCTCATTCCACACACACTCGCAGTTCAACTTGCAGGGACCGAGCAACGACCAAAACGTGGTGACGAAGACTACATCGAACGGCCTGAGAATGCGGTCATCCTTGTCCAACACAAATCCCACTCGCAGAAGAATGAGGCAGAGGCAGCTGGTGGTGTAGGGGTTGGGACTGTAGAAATGGCGTATTATTTACTATTTTTGTATTCTATAATTTAAATATAATTATATTCAATTAATTATTTGATATAAAATTGTATAGTAAGTAAAAGCAAGCTATTCAAACACTTGTAATGACTTGTAAGCATTATAAGCAGATATTACACTGTCACAAATTAATAAGTATGTCTTAACCTTGTAATTTAGGAAGTATATTATAATCACTTGTATAACTTGACAATTTATAAAATTATATTAGAAATTGCCAAGTTTTAAAAGTATTTTTTCTTGCTTATTTAACATTGTACTTTCCTTACTTAACCCCCCAGGAAGATTATAAGTAATTGGACAAATTTTATAAAATTTATAAAATATACAAGATTACAAGCAAGTATAATACTTAAGACTTTTTTGTGATGGAGGAGAGTACACTTGTAAGACTGAAAATTAGGGCTTAGTATTAGTATTATAATAGGGAGGTAATGACTATACACTGTGAAAATGATGTTCACAGGACTCTAATTTATAGTAGTATCAGTGTAGAACACCTGAAGAGTGAATTGTTTGTTGTACCTCCTTGTAAAGTAGCAGTATCATGTTTATGAAAGTCATGCCTGTAATAATGTATAAATATATAGAAGAAATTCTTCCAAACAGAGACTCACAGATGATACATAAGAAGTACATTACCCCTACATATGTGTATTCAGGAACAGTTGTGCTAGATTCTAGGATGACAGACCTGTAGTCAACATATGCTTCACAAGAATACTGAACAATCCCAAATCCCAATCTGTACTTGTTTAGTAGATACAATCTGGAATGAAATGATTAATTAAATAAACTTACAATAGTCAAAGGCCTTGGCCAGGAGTAGGCTAAAGTCAACTACTTATTAGAGATAATTATATGTGTAGGAATTTAAAGATATATGTTCTATTAGACTTTGTACTAATGATTCTGAAGGAATATTATGATTCCCTACTTGTAGAACATTCAGAGTATAGGAAAACACTTGAAATAATTTAGAGAGAGTTCTGGTAGCTATAAATGAGGACAAACACTAAAAAGTATGTTTAAGACTGTAATAAATACTAAAGAACAAAATCCCTACACACTACAAGACAAAAAGCATTACATCCTTATAATACACTTACTAGACCTTAGTAGGTAATATCTGTCAATTTAATTAGTGAATTGTCTGAGTCTAAGGGATTTAACACTATTTGTATTATTGTAAATTGTTTCTCTAAGCAAATATATACTCTTCTAACTACTACAAAGGTTACAGCTGAGAGAATAGTTAGACTGTATAAGGATCAAGTCTTTAGACTCTATAGATTACTTACAGTATATGACAAAAGTATTGTACAGGTGAAAAAAATATATATAACTTCCCTAAAACACAATAATATTACACTCTGTAAATTGGTACTTGTAGTCTAGCATTTTATGAATACAACACTCTATAGAGTATTAAATTCCTTTCAAAAATGAGTGAAAGCAGAGAAGAATAC